TACAGTCCATCCAGAGAGAGAAAACAGTTCTCTGAGAGTGATAACTAAGTGAAAATGTTTGCTCTTAGTGATAGTGTTGCATTTTTTTTAAAAAAAAGAAAAAAAAGAAAAATCAGATTATTTTTATTTTTCAGAAGATGCCAATGTTTGCAGATTTGTCATCCATTTTCCTAATTCTTCCTTTAACTATTTTTTTTGAGGATGATAATTTGCATGTACAGTTTTGGTGGATTAAGCTGTAAATCATAATCTCGCATAGTTTTTATGTGAAATATCAGGGTACAGTCAAAGTCATGCTAGCTTATGTCAAAAAATCAAAGATTAAATACTGTGCAGCCATAATAAATAAACCACAATGAAGCTACAGTTTCTAGGTGTATACATCTTCTGCATATGTAATTCTATTCACTAATTACTTATGGCAAAACTGAAATCTGCTTGTCATATTTCAACAGGCAGTAAATGTGCACAAATAGGCCTACTAAGGTATTAAGTGACAATACTTCACTTAGACTAACTAATTAATGATGTAGCATTTGAGAAAAATCTATTGCTATATTAGGTAAGCATTATTGTATATTTCACTATTCCAAGCAGTGTTGCCATCATGAAGTACAACTGAAAAATACATATTTTCACAATCAGTTATATCCACAATGGAATAAAATTTCAATGCAATAACGTTAAATAAGACAAATTCAAATCTGGGTGATCCAAAGAGGATGTCAGTGTCATAACACTCAATAATTGAAATGCTGGAAAATTATCTGTATTCCTGTAGTCTTGAAATGAGCCATTGATAAGTGTCTGCATTTTCTGCCTGATGAGTAGGGAGCTAGACATCTGAAACAAGAATTCACTGTAGTTATTATAATGAGTTACGGTAGGTAGTCATTAGGAACTATTGAAGAAAGCAGTATGAGACAGTCTAAAATTGGTTCCAACTAGTCCCAGGTTGAACACCTATGAGAAAGTGGGTCAGAATGTGAATTCATACTAGCTGGTTCACACATTAAAAGGTACAGCTAAAGGGAGAGTCTGTGGGGGTTTTCTTTATCTAAAAGCATCAAGAGTTAGGTATTGCACCCTCCCTTTCCCCACCCCTCTCACAGCTGCATTTTCTGTTGTTCACTTGAAGCCTCAAAGTTCAGTGAGGTGGTTCTAAAGACAATTCTTCTGTGCTGTTAGAGGACATCTTCTACTTTGTATTTAAGACTGTTTTCTACTAGATTCCGCTACTTTAAAAATTGAACACAGAAATATTCAGATCTCATGCTGTGTTTCTTAATGAGGTGAGTATTGCCATTGAAACTGAGCTTATAAAAGGTTACTTTTATGAGCATGGGTTTGCAACATCTGGCTTTAAAATTTGCAGTTATTAATATTTGCCATGATAATTATGTTTAAGCTCTTCATAAGAGGCAATGATCTGTAATAAAGACCAGCTATCTGTAAAAGACAAAAGAAAAATTAAATTTCATTGTTAACTTCTAAAAGTTATGGAGATTTCAGACTAACCTTGGAGGGACAGAACTGGAAACGTGTTATTGAGATTTTGTAAAGTGGACTGGAGTAAGCAAACAGTACAGAGGAAGTTACACTGAGGACAGACTGTGTGATCTTACGTCTTTTTCATCTTTCATAGGTTATTTCATGGGTCAATGCCAGATGTAAAACACTGTCACAATATTCTACCACAACTGTACTATGTGTACAGCTCTGGAGCCTCCAACATAAGAAGGACATGGACCTGCTGAAGCAAATCCAGAGGGAGCCATGAACCTGCTCAGAGGGCTGGAACACTTATCCCATGGAGACAGGCTGAGGGTGCCTGGGTTGTTCAGCCTGCAGAAATGAAAACTGCAGGGTGACGGTAGAGCACCTTCCAGCACCCAAAGGGGGCCTGGAAAAGAATAGGAGAGGAACTTTTTACAATGGCATGAAGTGATAAAACAAGAGGGAATAGCTATTAATTGAAAGATGGGAGATTTAGATTAGATTTTAGGAAGAAAATCTCTGCTGTGAAGCTGGCAAGACTGGTTCAGGCTGCCCAGAAAAACTGTGGCACTGCTCCTACACCAGAGATAGGGTCAGACAGTGTGTATGGAAGATGACAGGAGGAATATGCTTATAGTTCTCAATATTTGTATCAACTTTTTTGTCCTTCCTCCCTGCTCCTACCTCCCTTGGACTCCCTTTGTTCATTCCTGCCACCCACTCTCTAACTCAAAGCTGTGACCACTGTTCAATTTCACTCTTAGTTGTCAGCATAAGACTAACATTTTTTGTCTGAGAATCAAGTTAGTACATTTTTTCTAAGGATGTAAAATGAAAAAAAAATTCTACCCCTTTGGATGGCAGCGCCTCAGCTAATTGCAATCACTGCTTTCATTACCCATAAAATGTTCTTCTTTCCAGAAAAAAAACACCTAGTTTAGTCTGAAGCTCTTCTGTGTACAGTTTAAAATTTTGATAGCATTTTAAAAAAATCCACGGAACAAAAAATAATCCAAACTTTTGAGTTCTTTGTAAAAGTTTTCCAGTAGCTTATTTATTCCCTAAATAGTTGTCCTCCAGAATGTTTTCACACTCCTCTGTGTTTCTGGAAAAAAAATCACTTCTGCATTTTATACTCTTGTAATTACCAGATATGTTAAGAGGTAGAACTGTGAAAATTCTGTGTCTAATCTACTCTATTCAAATATGAATAATGTCAAGCTGAGGAATGTTCCCTTTAATAATCTTTCCAGCCAAATCTTTCTCCCAGTGCTGCCACCACTTTATACTCCTAAACACAGTTTAAATAAAACAGACACAGTGCTCCATTTTCTCTTCCAAGGTGAACAAACACACTCAGTGTGTTCCAGCTGATATTCCTGCCTTGGTAATAAAACAACTGCCATCTTTTCATTGAGAAGTGTCCCATTAATTAAAAATTAACATCACCCTGCTGCATCCTGTAGACATATCTATGTTGCCTAAACCTGTTCTCTGCAACACTAGCACAATTTTAATGTACCACAAGATCTAAAGAGCATCTGTCTTGCAACTCATCAGCACGATGTTGTCAAAAAAAAAAGCTATGTTTGAAAAAAATCCAAGGTAATAAAACTAGTGTATAGTGATAAAAAAAAGGACAACATTTCAAAGAAGCTGCAAAAGAGAAAGTCAAATCAGCAGCTGCACCTCACTGGTGCTGAGCCCTAGAAAAGTAAATAACATCTGCTAGTTGTAGTTCCTTTTTGGCAGGCTTAATGTAAAGCCCTGATTTGGTAATTTTTAAAGACAACTAAGGCAATCAATCTAAAAGATAATTAAATTATGGACATTGTTTTTCACTGCTTTGTTTTGAAAAAAACAAACATGGTGGTGTTTGGGGGTTTGGCTTTTCTTTTTTTCCCTGAAAGGGAAGGAGAATGTGTTTCTATTTGCTAAATCAGCTGAGTGTTAGGGGACTGCTTAAGATACCCTCTACTACCCAGCATGAAGGCTTAGGCAATTTGGAAGATTGGGCTCAAATGGGAAAGCAAAGGAAGACTGCAACACTCCTACCTCTGCATAGAACAGTGACATCAATATTGGGAATAAAGGTTTCTCGTTTACATTCTTAACTGTAGCAGCTCTCTTTTAACTGGAGAAGCCACTCTTCGTAGTGGAACTTTTGGTTAGATATGTTTCCTTATGAAAATGTGAGTTGCCCTGAACTGCCCAGGAGTCACTCCCCTCCTGCATTCATAATGTATGAGGTTACCATTCCTCCAAAACATTATATGAGAAAACAGCTACTCGGAGAACTCTGAGAGTGGACAGTTATCCTGAGATCCAAAAGTGTGTATCAACTCTACCTGCTCCTTAACAAGAAGAGTGAATCTTGCCCTAATAAGTTTTCTCAGGCAGGTGGGCATCTGGCCCACCCCATGTCCATTGATTTTTCTGAGTGCTCAGAGTACAGAGTGGAAATGCACACTTCCCAGGCACTCACCAGGAAGTCACATAATACACTCATGCTATCTATTATAGCACCTATCTAGACATTTTAATGATGATAGTTCTTAAGGCCAAAGAGTTATGGGCAATTCAGATTGCCTACTATTTAATACTGCCTGACATTTGAAGTTGTTGACGAGGAGTCATGACATCTAACTTATCAAATGTGGATGTGTTACATAAATTGAACCATGCCTAGGAATGTTCCTGAGCTCCAGCACACTATTATTCACACTTACAAATAGGCAGAAGTGGACTTGGCATGGTTTCAGCCCATATCCACTAGCACTCTCTTTCCAGACTGCTCCCAGGGTCTATTATGGGACAGACACAGCTCCCGAAGCTCCTGATATGCAGTCACAATATGGTTGTGACTATCCTGTTTTAATGTTTAAAAGCATAGAAAATACTGAAGGGGCCAGATCATGTCACCTAATCTCAGGGCCAAGAGCAGGACACCCACTGCTTAATTTACTACCATAGATATGCCTCAGCATCAACAGCCTGTCCAATTTAAGCACAGGATTTTCCACTACGTGTTAAGAGAACATTGGGAGCTCTGCCTAAAAGGCAGCCAGAACCTCTCACAACAGCAACAGGCCCAAATTTATAGCAGGCAGCCTAAACACAACTCCTAGTGCTAGACCACCACGCTCCCCAGGCATAGAATTGCTAGCTTATGTCAAAAAATACATAATGTTGAAATACGAGGTAGGCTGGTATATTTAATGCTACTACCAGGCCTTTACAAATTGTGAAAAAAAAATATGTTTAAATCACTGGGACATTAAAATCAGCTGAACATCTCCCTCAGATATTTTTTGAAGAATTTATTTTTTAGGTTACAGGGAAAACAAAGCAAAACCAACACCAAATTCCAAAACAAAACCAAACCAAAAAAAAATAAAGCTTCTTTATGTTATATTTAAGACTAGACAGAAAATATTTTTTATGGACATTAACTTCTATATACACATGTATGTATACCTATTATATATAAATCGATGTAATTTATTTATATACATATATTTATATTCATGTCTCTGAAACATCTGTGTCTTTGTGTTTGTAAAGAAAATATAAAAATAGCTTTTCAGGTGATACCAATTTTGTAACTGCTTCTGTCTAGAATATTGCACTACAGATTTTATTTGCATTGCCAGTGGCAGTAGCCCATCTTGGATTACTTACTCCGCATAAAATCTATTTGACATGATCCATACTAAAGAGATATAAACACAGATGGATCCATGCTCTCTCCTCTCATCTACAGTAAAACCCATAAACTGAAACACAGAACCATTTGGGTTAGAAGGGACATTTAAATGTCATCTTGTCCAACCCCTGGCAATGATCAGGGATATCTTCAACAGATTGTTCAGAGCCCCATCCAACCTGACATTGAACGTTTCCAGGAATGGGGCATCCATAACTTCTCTGGGAAGCCTGTGCCAGTGTTTTACCACACTCGTATGATGAGGACCATGGTATGACCGGTGATCAGCCCAGATCTATTTCCAACTAGGCTCTTTGTTTCTAACGATTCATTAGTATGTCAGGCTCTGTAAATCCATTCCTTCGGTCGGTTTGGCTCTGTATCATTTCTTGAGAGACTCTTAAATGCAGCATTATACAGCACACTTCAACCCAAAACCACTCTGAAGGTCAGCACTGCCGCAGACTCAAGTTGCCATCAACACATTCTGGTTAAAATTCAAATATCCAGATTCAATATTTGACTTCTTGGGATTGGGTCTTTTAATGACTGTCAGTGATGTAACTTGTGTGTCATCACTGTCAAAAGGAAAGTTAAGCCAGTTTTCTGTATTTTTTTTTCCAGTAACACAATTTTGAGATTTAATAATATGCTTCATAAATTCATACAAAACTAAAGGATAGCTTTGATAAAGAAAAATTAAGAAAAAACCACTGGAAAAATCCAAAGTACTTTGTTCCTGAATTTCCATATGAAACATGCTGATTTGGATGTTCTTTTAAATGTATAAAATTCTTTTGTAGAGTTGAACAAAAATAAAAATAATAATAATAAAAATTTCCAAAATGCTGTTGTATTTTGTTCACTGCTTTGTTTTGTTTTGATTTGATTGTTTTGCAGAGGAGGGATTCCTAGAGGGAAAGGCTGTTTGGACAAGAAACAAAATATACTTATACCAGCTTGAATTTTAAATGTGCACAATTTATTAATTTTGTCGATAAAACAAAATATTATTTGCACAGCAGTGGTCCTGGCTCTACAGGTTTTTTTCTACATAGATGAATGTCTTTTGTTCTGGTAAGATAGTTTTTAGGGATTTTCTGCTTGCATGAATTTTTTATTCCTATTGTTTTCTTACCATTTGGTAATCATCAATTCAAAAATTTTAAAACAATGGAAAATAGAAATTCACACTATAGTCTGAAGACACCTATTTTGGTATGTTTCCTAATTACTGTAATGCAATTTGGACTATTCTCCTAGCTGTTTGTCTCCAACCAAGGACATCATGGAGAGAGTTCAGTGACTATTCTTACCAGCACCTCACAACCCCTAGTTGTTACTCTGTGGATGTACCAATGACTCTGCACACTTAGGGTGCATTGAGTGCACCAAGAATTACTCTGGCAGCTAAGTTGAAAGAAGCCGAAGTCCAGCTAAGGTTTTACCCCATCCTAGCCAAGCAGATGGACTAGGGCAGGAGCAAAGGCATGCTGCAGATAAACACTTTCCACAGGGCTGCTTCCACCAGCAAGCCTTCAGTTACTGTGGTCCAGAGACCAACTTCTGGTGAGAGACATGACTTGGATGAGAAAGTGAACAGGTAGGCTCCCTGCAAGCAAGCTTTCCCAGGCTTCAGAAAAGCTTTAGATTAGATTTTGCAGGGGATGAAGGCCAAAGTTCAAAGAAAAATAGAGAAAGATGAAGTAAGGGAAAAACAGAGAGTGCATGGCAAAGGAGGAGGCTTTCACAGTTTCCTAGAGAAAGTGAGGAAATAGAAGATCCATTTAAGCAGCCTGTATACAAGTGAATGAAGCCAGGAAAACACATGAAAGGAACTGTATCTTAATGTGTAGTCACAGACCTGACATCACTGAGATTATACAAATGAGGTAGGATAGTTTTTGTGACTAGAGTATTTCCACAGATGCAGAATCTCAGGGGAAGACAGGCAGGATAGTTAAGAAGATGGGGGTGTTCTTTACAAAAACAAATAGTTAAATACGTGGAGACCTGATATGGAATGGGAAAAGAACTATTCAAAATTTTTGGGAGGAAGCTGGTAAGGGACACACAATTATGGGCCTAGGAGATGAGCTCGGCTGGAGCTGTATCTGATAAAGGACTGATTGTAGTGTGATAGTCAATGACAAGTTTGATTCCAGTGACTGGTAGATAGAGGTTCCAGATCCTTAAAGAAGGCGAGTTTAAGGACTTGAACTGCAGGGAAAGAGATTTTCCCTTTTTGTCAGGGATATGAGGGACAGGATCCCAAGGAAGCTGATTGTGAGGGAGTCCAAGTGAGCCAGGTGTTCTTCAGGGGCATCCTCCTGATAGAACAAGGACAGTTTGTTTTGGTTGCAGAAAGTAGAGTAAAAAGGAGACTAAGCAAAAATTCAATTAAGTATTTGCAATATGAAAACAAGGAGGAGCTATCCAGGAGAAACACCTGGACATACAAAGATGAAATTAGGAAAGACTGGTTAGATGTAGTCAAAGGTTGAGTCAGATATCAAGCAACATGAAGGCTGCCTAAAGTTATATCAGCAGCAAAATAATCAAGGAAAATGCTGATGATAGTTGTTCCTGAGTGGGTCAAGTAACACTTGAGCACTTAACAAAGGAGAGAAAACAGTGAGAGACATTTTACCTCTCTCTTTCTTTACCTCCCAGACATTCATCAGCAAAGTTCAGGGGTCAAAGACAGTATTCATGACAGAGGATCAAGTTAGGAACTAGTTACTTAAATTGAAAATAAGAACAAGTCCACAGGTCCAGTGAGGATGGATCTAAAGGTGATGAGATCAATGTCATTAAGGAACTCTTACCTCTCAAAAATTGTGTAGATCAGAGAAAACTCCTGATGAATAGTAAAATATGCATTCTAGGAGCTCAAACAAACCAGCTCCTTATGGCACAGCACTTCCAAGAACAGGGAGGAGACTGCAAAACAGAAAATAAATTAAGTGTATAGACTGAAAAAAAGTGGTGGCCTTTCAGAGTATCCATTTTCATAAAACTTTTAAACTGAATTATTCACAACATCAAATTCCATATTTTAGTTTCCAAAGCAATTTTTTATATTTTCTACTATATCAGTTAATGATAATGTGGATTTTATGCCTCATTTTTCTGACACTTCCTTCTGCTGGAAGCACTCAAGACATTTAGATTCCCACTCCTCAATACTGACCTAGGCATTTTTGAGGTTGCTATAGCTACCCAGGATTTTATGCAGTCCTGAAAGACTTAAGAGATCAGCCAGCTGATACATATAGTTGAAGATCCATGTTCCGTAGCTTTTCCCCTGTCACTAACTGAGTAGACTAAATGTTACATTTTGGTGATATATAGTGGATATGGATCATTGACACCATGTTGTTCACCCTACCTTGCTGTGGCTCACATTGGTTCTGCTGAACTCCAGGCCTTTCCTGGCCACAGAGGCAATGTGAGATGGGATTGTTCTGACCATAGTTACTTTACCATGAAATTCTTTTGCAGAAAATTAAGGCTCAATGACTCTCTCTACATAAAGATAGAATCTGTATCAGGAACTTTCGAGAAGATGCTGTACTTGAGGAAGAGTTAATGGTTTTGAGCGGGTTAGGTCTGTTTTATTGAGTTTTCTTAGGGCTTGGGAAGTCCATAAGTTATCATGAGTAGCCACTGTATGATAACCTCTTGGATAGCCCCATGCCAGGCTGTGCTGCACGTACAGGGGTGTTATAACAGAGATGACAGTCCAACCTGTCAATAAACTTTCTCTTATACAAACAGTTTACTGATATATCCTGTAATTTAAAATGTCCTTGAGAAAGGTGAACCAAGAGGTGAAATGTAGTGATCCTGATGAGGACAGCAGTGAATGTCAAGGTGAGTGACCCACCTGACAGCCTTAGCAGGGATGGGTTTGCACTGTGCTGCATGTTCAGCATGACCTTCAGGACTCACTGAGCTCCACAAATCCCTTGGACACAGGTGCCAACTAGTGAAAGAGAGGAAGTAACAGGCAGCTTCCACTTGGCACCTGCAGTTCTGCTACCTCTGTTTGCTTTTATCTAAAAGTAAAGCAAGTTCTCATGCAACTGTCTTTAATGAACAGAGTTGTTTTCCTGTAAAAAAATTATCTAATAGCTCAAAGGATCAAAAATGGGAAGCTTCTGCCACAGAAGGCAACTGCAAAATGTGCTGTGGAAAATCCACCTGGGTACCTTCTGACATTGCACAAGTGCAGGGTGCCCAAAATCTTAAGGAATAGAAAATTTACTTGCTATCTGTATTTCTCTTTTTAGTCACTCTTATTAAAACAACTCTTTTTTTAAGCTATTTTTTTGTTGGACACTATCTTATTGAGATACAGAAACTACCCTGCACCATCTCTCTCACCCCACCTCCTTCCCTGGTGCAAACATAAGTCTGTTTAAAAAATGCAGATTTCTGCCTGATCAAGCATGGAACTGATCTATATCTTAATTGTTTTCCACTGTTTGTGCCTCACACTTAAGTGAGAAAAAAAAAAGGTCCAGACAGCAATTGAGCAGAGATTCAGTTCTTCTTAGGTTCCCTCTATTCAAAACCATCAAACCTAGGGAATCAATCAAAACTTTACATTAAACATTTCCTTAAATATAGGTGTTCAGTGTGAAAAAATCACACTCACTCACCTGCAAATAGGAAAGGAAGAATCTCTGTAGGTCTTTAAAGCTGAACTATGCTGGCAGCCAGCTGAACTCACTGCACTGCTCCTCTCAACTATGATTGAAACATATTAGGAAAAGTTAGTTACCTGTCCCAAAAGCAGGTTACCTACATATGAAGCAACATATTAATATATGTATGGAGCAAGCTCCCAAGAGGATTATGGTGGCAAATATGCATGGAGGGAGAGGGCGACTATTTATTTTGTTTCAGCCAGCTCAGGGTTACCCACCCATATTTGCAGGAACATTCTCATGCCAGCTGAGGCTGGTCATTTATTTAATCAAGCCACCTCTTTCAGGAGCACCATTGCTCCAGGTCTCTTCTGCAGGCAACGCAGATGGCTGTTATCTTACCAAAAATAGCAGCTGCCTTTTGGATATAACATATTTCTCTCTTGACTATAGCAGGAATCAAGTATATATAGGCTTCTCATTTATATGCACTAAGTGTAAAGATGAACTTTTAAAGATAATTTGTTTAAAGATAATTTGTTTAAAGATAGAGAGGTGAATCTTATCAGCTGGAGCACCCACTGCATGAAGTATGTAGGATTAAAATTTCAGAGCTCTGAATAATCAACATCATCCTTCTTCTCAAGCCTTATTAGGAACAATTCTGTCAATTATCTTTCATGCCCAGGTTGTGCTGAACCTTTCTCCCAGAAAGAGTGTTTCATTCCTTCAGAAATATTTTGTCCCAGTTATCCAATGCCCGTGTGCATCATCACATGACAGTACTTATAATTGCTAAACAGCTAGTTACTTGGATAATATTTTTAGGAATTTCTGACTTTCTACTGTCATTTCAGTATCATTTATTTCAGTAATTATTCCTCTATGATAAAATGAACAATTAAAATTCTGGAATATTATGTGTTTCTATGCCTACTGGAAGATTTAAAAATACAGATAATTAATAACAGTAAATATATTTGGTTATAAAAGCCTAGATATGCCCATTTTTGTTAATCTCTTGAAGAACAAGGTGCTGTGGCGATTTTAGGAGATGAGCTATGCTACAACTGATGCTGCTTTTGTGCTGCAGTATCTCAGGCTCCAGGTTTAGTATTTATTCTTCTATTAAATAGCTACATTACCACTGTTGAAATTAAAAATAAAATATCTATCCTTTTGTTGTTGTTGTTACATACAAAACCAAAACCAGAGATAGTTTAATTTTGATCATCTTACAGTTGTGCTCACATCAAACACATGCATCAGACCTTCCCCATGTTTCTTCATCTCATTCACTTTTCTCAAACAGTGTGTCCAAGACACAGAAGGAAGAGCGGTGCTGCTAAGTTTATCTCCATTTGGCTGCCTGCCTGCTTCACTAGGAAGGAACCAGGAGCTTCAGGTTCCCTCACAGCTCATCAGAAGTCTGATGTCAGAGACCACTCTGTCTCCACTCCTGGAATTTAGGCTGCTTCAGGAGGGTCACCACCACTGCCCACGGGACTGAAGCATCAGATTTGTGAACTGCCCCATAACCAGGGTTAAACTCCCTTTTTGTTCTAGTCATTCTTTGAGATTTGAAGATTGTTCTCTGAATAGCAAGGAAACTAAATGTTTAATCTTTAAAAGACTACTTTAAAAAGCATTAGCTCTCTATTCACTCTTCTAGGTCTTAAGCAATGTGTTTTTAGAGGGTGCAAAATATCTTTGGCTAAATCTTAAATTTTATTTAGGATATGATGCTCAGGGCTCTGATATTTCCTGCTCACCAGTGCATCATTCTCCTCTGAGCTGATTCTTCTTTCCCAGTCTTTTCCTTTCTATTCCTGCCTAATAGCCTAGCTAAGACTGCCACGTCAATTCCATTTCTTCTATTACTGATGGGAATGTATGATTAGAAGAGCAAACACAGAGCAATGATTTAAATAGATTGACACTGGAATAAGTTTTTTCAGCTTTAGACTGGCTGCTAAGACCTTGTGCTGTATCACTAATATCCATCAGTAAGGTTTAAATAAAAAATAAACATTTCCACTTTCTGTCTCTTATACTATTCTTGCTAACATTTTATTGAAAATCATTCTGCTTTCTTTTAAAGGGAGGTTCAACAGTAGAACAAGAGTGGGTCTGTCTTCATGTCAATAAAAGAGAGTCAATATGAAATCAAAACTACCAGACAAAAGAATCACTTTTTCTGCTAAAAGGAAAGTGAGTAATTAATGCAGTTAATCCCCCATGCTCAAAATAAAATTTGTTTTTTCCTTAAATTTCAAATATTTAACTAAATTATTTCCTCTCCCCTCTCATCCCCCCATATTTAATGAAAGAATTAAGAATGGGTACTGGCAGGTGTTAGAGAGAAGGTTTCCATCAATGTCTTAATATGATATCCCAAAATAAATTTCACATTTTAATACTGTAACAGTAGTAAATATATTAATAGTCTCTAATCTCAAAAATCTCTCATGAACAGAAGAATAAAATAGTTCTTCAGTTCCTCTTAGTAGGCATGCAAAGAAAGATCACAGCTGACTGCTTTCAGTGGTACTTAATACTATAAATAACCTGTAGGAGTATCTGTGGACATGGAAGAAAAAGTGAGCTCACAGTATGCAAATTAGTTCATACAAAAATGTATTCTTTTTCTCTGTCACAAGATACAAAAATTTGACAGTGCTTCACTAGGGTTAAATTTTATACAGGAAATATCAATGAAAAAAAACTAACATTAGACAGGCCTTGACAAGGAACTGTTGCATGTAAATTAATGGCATAATTAGCTAAATGATTAAACTCTGAGATCTCAAACCCAGGAAACCTTATGAGAAAAAACCTTATTTTCTACATCACTAAGAAATTAGATTGACCTTGTCTCAAGCTTTTACAATTTCATACTATTTCAGTACATAATTAACTGGAGAAAAAATATTAATGAAAGTCATGTTTGTGACTAATATCAGTATGGCTGTGTAAAATTCCACTTGTAATCTGTGAGCCCTGGTAATAATAAAGTATTAAAAGTGAATATCTTACAATATGAAATGGAGATTTACATCTTTGCCAGTTCAGAAGTTTTAAAAACATTTCTTTTTTTTCCTAATAAATGTCACATTGATATTTCATGGTTCCTATGGAGTACATGGTTTGTGGAGAGCAGCTTAAGTGAATTTGCATTGCTATGGTATTCATTGCAGAACCAATACAGAGTTTAATCTCCTTTGCTGGAACTGCACAGGGGAAGAGTTTTAATGGTAGCTTAATTCTAAAGCTATACAAATCAGTAGGGTTTAATGACACTTCAAGAACCATGAGAACTCCTTGAACCATGTCTTCAAGCACAGTGGCCTGGAAGGCTGAAGCAGTGAAGAGTAAGGCTAAGAAAGCTTAGCTAGCTGTCACCAAAATACCCACCCCATGCAGCAAAGAACTCATGTTTTTCTTGTTAGGTGCTTATGGTTTACCATCATATGATAGTAAGATTTGGATCCATCTGGCTAAATGAGGATATAAATGTGCCCTGTGGTCATATAGAAAAATAGATACATGTTGACTTACTGAATCTTGCAAGTAATACTCCTAAGAAAAGGGTGGTCAAGGAGGACAAGAAGTTCACAGAAGATATCTGTCTAAAAATAAGCTGAGAGTAAGGATAAAATTAGAATTCCCACAAGCAAGTGTCACAGTGGACAAGTTTATGAAGTTTATGCTGTAATGGCCTGTGTATGCCCTGCAACAGGACTAGAAGCTGAAGTGTCTCTTTTCTTTTCTCATGCTCACTCTGTTTTTTATTTCACAGGGTTCCATTCTCAGAAATATCCATCTGTTATCATGCCCAATTTTTTTGCTTATTTCTAAATCTAAATCCACTGAATACTTCTAGTTCCCATTTTAGCTTGTGCTGCTTATTCCTTCACGCTGATGCCTGAGGCAGTTCCCCATTTGTTGACAAATCTGTATATTCTGGTTGATTCAGTTCCTTTTGCCTCTTGGTACCTCATAGAAGGGATAGATTACACCTCACAGCAAAGGACAAAAAATAAAGTATATTTTTTATATGTGCCACCACTTCTAGGGGAGTAATTGGAGTACTTTTTTAGGAAGTAATATCTCCCCTAGTTTGATTCTACTTGGTATATATCTAATGAAATTTTCTTTATAGTTAAAACATGAAGTGTAGTAGTTGAAATAGGCCTTTTAAATAAAAGTGATGTATAGAACAAAAGACCCCAGATCATCTCTGCTGTAAAAGTTAGAGAAAACTCTGTCTTCAAAACTACCTGGCAGTAATGAAGTTGTGATATAGACTTCACATTTTTGGCCTAGAAAACTGTAAATTCACCAAAAAGAAAAGTTTTCTTCAAAAATGTGACCAGGAATCCCTCAAAGACAAAACAGTGATTCTTGATTTTTGCCAGTAATGTTATGCATAGAAGCAGCCTCATAATCTAGTTGGAAATGAAAGGCAAGAAGATGCAATACATAATAAATACATAATAATTCACAGAATCAGTCTTCTTCCCATTCATTTGGTATTATGAGTTTCTTGTTGCATACCATCTGCCAGCTGTATGAACAAATGTAATTGCACACACAGATGCAATCCAATGATGGCAACAAACTATAGAACAGAAGAGATATGTAAATAAACATGAAAAATTTTGTCATAGATCATTTCTAGGCTCTTTCCTCAGAAATTATTAATAATAATAAACCATGTGACTTTTGTAGTCATTCAAGTAGTTTTATTTCTGTTCTTTTGAAGTTGTTTGTTTATGTTGTAAGACATCAAATAATTCCAAAAGTAGTTAATTTGGTATTTCATTTAACTCATAAAAATGATTCATATAAATGAGGGCCAGACATCATTCACTCACAGAATTTAACACCTACAATGAAAAGTAAAATGAAAACAATAATCTTATCAGTATTTCTTTACACATGATTCAATATGCTGTGAATGTCCTATCAACTTTTATCATGCTCTAAATTGTCCTGAAAACATTAAGTGTCTAGCATGTTTTTTAATCAGGCAACAGTTCTTTGCAACATCCCCAAATTTCCATTAGGATTCCTTTTTTAATTGGAG